CCTTGGACACTTCCAGGGATCCAGGGGCAGCCACAGCTCCTCTGAGCAACCTGTTCCATGCCAGTAATGACTGAGGAGGACTGGTTTGAGTGGAGAATGTGTATATAATGAATTTTCTTACAGGAGCTGTATCATACAATTTCCCTGGGAAGCAGAAACCATGGCATACTTCAGAGTATTTCCCATCTGACTTTCTTTATTTCCTCATATCTTAACAAACATAACAAACTGAAACATGGTGCTATTTCTTTTCAGTTCTGTAATAAAAAAAGATACGTTATTTCGATGCCCAGAAAATACATTAAACATTCATTTATTGGTGAGATTTTCATTATATTATTACATATGCCTTGGTTTGGTGCATAGGAAATGTACAGTTCAACATGCTAATTTTATTACCAATTTTAGAAAGGCATGGAGCTTTATAACAGACAGGTGAGAGAGGTCTGAAGTTCCCATGTATTGCTGAGTACAGGTGAGACTGGAATTTAAGCAATATGCCCTATCCTTGTGACAGAGTAATTTCAAAGAGAGGTGCTTGTTTAATTAGAATCAAACATAATCTTACAATCAAATAATAAGTACAAAAAAAGGGAGGGTTTTTTTTTTAATATGTGCAGTAGCTTATTAGTCTCCTACTATTTCTGATTTCTTTTGCACTTCCTCTTGTACCTGCAGCTGAATAGCACTTCTGAAATATCCAGGCTGAACTCTTCAGGAATTATTAGCAAGTCTAAGAGCCTGTTCAGAGTTATCCTATGGGGGCCCAAACCCAAGAATTTAGCGCTCTCTGACAATGTGAATCCTTTAAGGGAATTAATATTGAGGTGAAATTATTAATCCTTACCCAACTGCTTCCATCCAGAGACAGCATATATTCATCCCAATGAACTCTGACATCTGTTTTGTTCCACAGCCTCGGTCATTCAGGTTATCTGGCCAAGGAGCAATAGTTGAGATCTGCCCAAATATTTAGAAAAGTTTCAAATCTCACTAGGCAGCCGAGCATTTTTACACACTACTTATTTATACAGACAAACTACATCAGGCTCCCTTAATCCGCTCCGCCCTACGTCTAACCAACGCAATAGCTTGCTATTTGTCTTAAACTATAAACCAAATATTTAAAAATAAAACAAACAGAAGGACACTATGGGGTTTTACAAACAAGTATATGACATAGTAGCTCGTGGTACTGCTGCAGGCCGGGCCCTGGGGTGCAGGGCTCCCTCAGAACCAGTACTCGGACACGAAGATGTGCACGTTGACGATGTTGCGGTGGGACACCACCCCCCCCATCACGTAGTTCATCTCCAGCTTCAGGATGGCATGGAAGGGGCCAACGATGGGCCTCACCTGGCGAACGACACCTGTGGGGACAGGAATAGGTTGCTGGGATTAACAGGAGAATCAGCCAAGCCTGGATGAGCTACGCTGCCCTTTGTGCTCAGTGCAGCGTTTTATCTATTGGGTCTCTCAGTAAAGCTGGCAAAATAAGGATAAAATACAACTTGCACATCGAAATACCTTGAAGAGGATATAGAATTAGCACTAAAATGCTGCTAATGGCAGAAAAACCCCTATATATTATGAAATTAGCAATATTTTTTTTTCCTTTTATTCAGAGACATAAATTCAATAAACAGGCTGCGACACTGCTTTTCCACAGGAGATTTCCCTGGATAAGCCAGCACACACATGGCCCCCAGGAGCACACGAGCACACCTGGGGATGCCATACAACTCCTGGGACTGTGTTGAAAACCTCATTTCATTCAGGACAGCAGAAGCCATTCTGGAGACCAGCCCCCTTCAGGCAGGGACTGAAGCTGAAATCAGGCTCCTGGACTCTGGGCAGAGTGTGGGACAGGACCCTGGGGAGGCACGTCTGGGCCACGAGGTGTTATCGGTGCCTTGACATGATGTGGCTGAACAGAGCAGGGTTACAGCTTCAGACCTACAAAAGGAAGTCAACACAAGCTCTGCCGTTGACTCCAAAGGCTCCAGGTCAGCTCCTAAACCGGTTCTCACTCCCAGCTTCTCCCATCCAGAAGGATGTACCCAAATGTCCCAACCACGGGGAGCCAAGGGCAGCAGGCACAGGGAGCCTTGTGGGGAGCCTCACTCCTCAGAGTGAGCTGTCAGAGCCTTTGGGTCAGAAGGAAATACACAGTGTAAGGAAGAAGGTTCTGCTCCTGCCCTGTGTGCTGGGGGTTGTGTTTCACAGGCAGGCAGCACAGCAGTGCCATCCCAGAGTCCTGCAGCCATTCCCTAGGAGCACACTGAGATCTGATGGGAGACAGAAACGTTTGCTTATGCAGGCTGTCAGCACCTTGTGCTAAGGCAGGGCTGACATTACAGCTTTGTCCTGTTCAAACACTAACTAATATCTTCAGCATGCAGGGAAATTGCAAACTTCTCACCACACTCACTTTCCTTGCCATATTTGATGAATACACTTTTTAAGCATCCTTCCCCCTACAATTTATATGTACATACATTTATATATATTTATATATTTTTTATTTTATTTTTTTTTTTTAGCTTTCTTGGCTACTCTCCTGTACCTTATTAAAATGACTGGGCTTGGCAGATGATGTATTGAAACAGAAAAGCCTGGCTAAAATTGCCCTCCCTTTAGGGTCACATTGAAAGCATTTTGCTAACAACCCATCCTGTTATTGCAGGCCCTGCTCTGACTGACAGCCACGGAAACACAGAGCGTTGGAATCACTCAGTGCTGGCAGTCTGGAACCCACCCTGGGAACAGCTCCTGCTGTCATCACCCAGCTCTGAGAGCAAAGGCTGCTGGTTCCATTTAGCAATGGTTTTTCAGCACTCTACACTCTCTTGCCCTGCTCTGCTCTGGAGGTGGCATTGCCAGAGATGTCCTCTCTGCTGTGCTATGCCCCACTGTGGCATCCCTTCACACATCACTGCATCCAAAGCCATCAGTAACTTTCTCCTTCCTGCTCGGATGCATCCTGTGAACAGCAGGAAAAAGGTGGGATGGGCAAGCCCTGCCCTCCATGTGGCAGTGCCTCTTCATGCAGTTTCAAAATCAAGCCTCTCGAATGGTTGGGAAGTGAATGCTGTGCATGCTGACAGCTCTGCTGAGGCAGAAACTGCACAGAGAAACACAACAGTACCACAACATTAAACAAAATTGAAAAAATAACAAACAAAAACTCCAGTTTGTTGTGCCAACGTTCTAAATGGTCCTGAAATGACCACCCTGCAGGGTCTATTTCACTCCTCTCCCATTAAATGAACAGGATGATCCAGCAGGTGGGTTTGTGCTACAGCAGGAGTGTAAGGATGCAGTCATTTGAAATGGGCAGAAGGAAAGAAAGGGTTAGGGGAAAACCTTGAAATGTTCTACTGGACAAAAGCATGAGAGGTTTGCAGCTCTTTGCAGATTCAGTCCTCGAGAGCTTCACATTTTTGTTTTGTGACAAATGCTAAAATGGGAAACCTGACTATTTGTCTCCACCAAACTCAAGGACAAATGCGAGTGGAAACTGTGCAACAGGAAAGTTACTCAGAGCCTGAAATCAGGCTACATGCTTATCCTATTCCCAGTGATCCTCTCGCAGTGCTCCCAGGACTTGCCCCAGAAATGCTGTATAAGGCCACCTTCCACAAGGTGTTGCTGCCATTTGGAGCTGCCTGTGTGTGGTTCTCTGCTGTCTTGTGCCTTTCACGGGAGGTACAAGGGAGGGGCAGCTCTGCCAGACCCAAACAAGGCCAGCAGTGACAAACAGAAATCCAGAGAAAAAGCTTGAGATCCAGGCCTGGTCCCTGGAATTCACACACATGGCTCAATGAAATCAGTCAATACCCAAAAGCATTTAGCCCAGGATACATTTGAAGGAGCCACATGTAATAATTCTGGATGTTTTCAAGCACCACGGATTTAGGAGACACTGCAGCATTTGCATCAACATGCTGTTCCACTCTCCCTTTTGGCAGACTAGTGGATCCAGATTGGTGGTCTGGCATCCATCACAATTTATAGCTGAATATTAAGTATAAAAACATACCTTACAGTAACAAGAAGGTTACAATTTTTAGATGCACTGAAAAGTCAGGAAATGCAGAAATTAAGCTGCTGCTTTTTGATATCTTTTACCAGTCTAAATCCAAATGAGCTGGATGGAGCCACTCAGATTTGACATGGGGATAACTGCAGATTGGGAATCAGTCCTGGATCAATGCAGCAGTGCCCTCTGTCCTGTGAGGTGCTCTCTGTAGGATGTCAGGAGCACAGTGGTGTTGCTCAGTAAATGGCCTGAAAACAGAGGCCTCTCACATACCAGCACTTGGTCCTCTTGGGTACCAAAGGTTCAGGCTCTGCAGTTGGCAGATGGGGTGAGTTATTTAAGGAAGTTCACCCCAATCTTTTCCCAACAAAATTAATTTCAGCTAGGTAAGCATTTTGCACAAAAAAAATAAACCAGGAGAAAATGTGTCTCCATTTGAACAGGAGGATCACGGATAATAAACGAACATGGAGATTCCCACTGCTGCTGAATCCCATGTGCTGGGCATCCTTGAGCACTTGTGCTGTCTTGCCTACAGGCACATCTGTGGCAGCAATTGCTGGTGCCCTCCAGCCTGATGTGCTGCTGGTGCTGCTCATCCTCTTTGGTTCATAACCTGTGACCCGAACACAGGCTCCATCTGCAGAGAATGCCCCGTGTCACAGGCCAGGCAAAGCCCTTCCATCAGCTCACCTCTCTTTGGATTTGCTGTTTTGTTAACTGAGCACAGATATCATTACACATCCCAAATCTGCCTGGCTATCTTCATGGTTTGCTGACCTCCTTTAGAAAGCAATGATAAGACTTATTTTTTCCTGCACACTTTGCCCTTACCGTAAACAGGATCTGTGGCCATCCTTTCCACCTGCTGATCTGTGTAATTAAACAGCCTTGGAGTGAGAGGCAGCAAGTTTTTGGATGTCACAGTGATAGTCTGACCATGGCCCAGAACTTCTAAAGCTCTGTAATTAATGCACTGATTTGTTCTCTTGTCCTGTTTCTTCTTTCTTCTTTCATATTTAATATTGTCTAAGATAAAACTATGTCACCCTGTGTAGTGAGGACAATAACATAAATAATATATAATACTTATTTTCCAATGCTTTTAGTGAAGGAATTTTTCCTAATATCCAATCTAAATCTCCCTTGGTGTCACTAGAGGCCAGTTCTTCTCCTCCTGTCCCTTGTTCCCTGGGAGCAGAGCCCGACCCCCCCCGGCTCCCCCCTCCTGTCAGGGGGTTGCAGAGCCAGAAGGTCCCCCCTGAGCCTCCTTTTCTCCAGGCTGAGCCCCCCCAGCTCCCTCAGCTGCTCCCCACCAGACTTGTTCTCTAGATGCCACAGGTATTCCTTGGCTTGTCTATACCTCTTTAAGATATCATTACATTTCTCTGCTTTGAAATATGTGAGACCCTCAGGCAGTTCACCTCTGTGTCTGGTTTCTGCTTGTACTTTTGTGTGAGGCAGCTGATTTGCTGAGGAGCTCCATCTCCAGCCGAGGGGAGGCACTGCTCCTGTGTTACCACGTTAACCTGTTCTGAGGGACAAGTCCCTGCCTTACCATGAATTCACATTTTGCCTCCAGAAATCCAGACTCCTAGTTCTGACTTCTGTGCTAAGCTCACTGCCCAGTATGCTGAAGCACTTGCAAAACTCTTTGAAACCCTTTTCTTTTTAAAAAACCCCCTTTCTTCCTTTTTTCCACTGCTAACCACAAAACCTGCTGCAATTACACTCTCAGGGGACCTGGGTCATGTTGTTCCTCACACCCCTGGCTGAACACTGCATTTGCCTTTTCTCTGGAGAAAGTTCCTCCAACAGGCATCTCTATGGTTTGCAGAAAGCAAAGCAGAACCAGAGCACTGATTTTCACACTGCCACAAGAAAAGGCTGGTTTCCCTTGGTTACATTTTCCGTTCCAGAGGTGAAGCTCACAGGGTTTTCCACAGGGATTGATTCTTGAGTCCAGTCAAATATTTAAATCTGTATCATCACTGAGAGCACAGGACAGACATAAGTTGCACCCATTCTTTGAAAAGAGAGCCTCAAAGAACCCAAACTTTTAAGGATTCCCAAAAAATCAAGCAGAGAAGTGTCAGTGGAGCACGTGAGGAATCAAGGGCTGCCAGGGGCTGTGTCTGATGCCTGCTGGAAGAGAGGACCTGCTGCACTGAACTCCTCTTGCCTTACCTGCCTATGCAGCTATGTGTATTTGTGTATATAAAAACAATGCCAAGTACTGCCAAATCAAAAGTTGTTCTTCCAAATAACCTGTGGGCTACGCTCAGAAAAATACAGTAAACACTGCTATCAAAAATGGGATCAATTCCC